TCCATATATTCCATATTAGTGAACGGAGATGTTTGCATATAATAAGCTATGAAGTTGATAAATGATTAAATTCCCGTTGAGCTTTCTTGCTTTAGATAAGCTTTTTGATTTAGTTGGGCTCATAATAATTCATGATCCTATACAGTCAGACGTGTACATGTTATAATTAGATAAAAATATATTTTAGATAGATTTTATGATTGACCTAATAAATATATTTATAAATTAGCATGATAGATTTAAGTAAAAAAAAAACTGATGGCACCATATCATATTAACAGTTTAGAAAAAATATAATTTTTTATTTAATTATTGAATATGCTTAAATTTTTATATAAGAATATTTGTAATTTGTTTTCTTTAGATTTTACTATTAAAAAATAAGATGTCTGCAATAGAAGTAGAGAGGCACGAAGCAATGAATCCATACTGGAGCTTAATAGACCACCGAGCAAAGACGAAGTCAGAAAAGGAAAGTGCTTCGGGACTCAAGAACAGGTCACCTGGAAAAAGTCTTTCGCTGGATCTTTGAAGAAAGGAGCACAGAAAACCGGACTCACCAAGGACGGCGAATGGAATCTCAAGGAGCCAGGTTGTAACCACCTCGGAAATGTCTCCAACACTTGAGTTTAAAAGGCCATTTGCCGAGTGTGTCTCACAGGTTGATTGATGTTGATGGAGGAATCATAGTCTTCGATGTCTTGTCAAAACAACGATAAAATTGTAAAACAACTTTATAATAAAACATTAAATAAAGCAAGAGTTTTTTAATACGAAGGCCGAATCATTTTATCCGAAGAGTACAATTAACATGTAACGGAAGCAACGAGCTCACAGCTGTTGGATTCAATTATTGATAAAAAAATCCTTAAATCGTTGGATTAATCTATATATTATTTGGTTAATTTGAATTAATTATTTTTATTAAAATAACAATTTTTTTTACTTGATATTAACCTAATTGGTTTATATTGAGTTTAATTGGTTCAATTGATCACTAAAAATTAATATCAGGTTAACTTCTTCTTTTTTAATTCAATGTCTTAAATGATTTAATTAAATACTTAGCTGGAAATCTTAATTTTTTTTAATTAAATAACAAGATTTAACAACTATGAACAAGACGGCATAAAATTTTGTATTTGCTTATTCACTGCCTCTAGTAATTATCGACCAGCAAATTATTAGAGACTTGAAATCAACGTCGTGAAACTAACAATGAAATGATCTTCACATTCGCTGATTTCGTTTATGACATAATTAACTATAAATTCTCCAAGTTACATGCAAGTATGTATCATTCTTCGTTGTCAATCTACTGATCAGACATGATCAAAGCAATGAATTCCTCAGACTTTCTTTCACTCCTAGCATGGTCTTGCCTCTTGTTATTGCTAATTGGAATAAGCAATGCGGAGTTAGAAAGTGAAGAATACCAAACGTACATTGTCCACATGGACAACTCTCACAAGCCTGCCACATTCTTAACCCACGAATCATGGCACCGGTTCACTCTCAGATCTTTATCAAATCCAGCCGATGGCGAAGGAACCTTTTTGTACTCCTACAGTCATGTCATGCAGGGGTTTAGTGCTAGGCTCACACCTTCCCAGTTGGCTGAAATCGAGAAATCCCCAGCTCACATTGGCACGTATAGAGAGTCATTTGGGAAGCTATTCACCACCCACAGCCCCAAGTTTCTAGGATTGAGACAAAACTCTGGAATATTGCCCACTGCATCTCGTGGTGAAGGAGTGATCATAGGGATCATTGATACAGGAATTTGGCCAGAGAGTGAAAGTTTTCATGACAAAGGCATGCCACCAGTTCCTCAGAGATGGAAGGGCAAGTGTGAGAATGGCACAGCATTTAGCCCTTCTGCCTGTAATAGGAAGCTCATTGGAGCTCGATCTTTCAGCAAAGGACTCATAGCTGCAGGAAGAAAAATTTCAACAGAGTATGACTATGACTCCGCGAGAGACTTCGCTGGTCATGGAACACACACATCATCCACCGCAGCTGGTAGCTATGTTCTTGGAGCAAATCACTTTGGATATGCAAGAGGCACAGCCAGAGGAGTAGCACCTGCCGCACATGTTGCCATGTACAAGGTACTCTTTGCAACGGATACTGAAGAGAGTGCAGCAACTGATGTACTAGCTGGAATGGACCAAGCTATTGCTGATGGGGTTGACATTATGTCATTGTCTCTGGGTTTTACGCAAACACCATACTTCAATGATGTTATTGCCATAGCTTCACTTTCGGCAATGGAGAAAAACATTTTTGTTGTATGTGCAGCCGGGAATGATGGAGCCTATAATTCCACGTACAATGGTGCACCCTGGATCACAACAGTCGGAGCTGGCACACTTGATCGGAGTTTCACTGCTACAATGACTCTAGAAAATGGGTTGACATTTGAAGGAACATCTTACTTTCCACAGAGCATTTACATCGAAGATGTTCCATTATATTATGGCAAAAGTAACTGGTCCAAATCAATATGCAACTACGGAGCATTGAATAGAAGTGAGGTTCATCGAAAGATAGTACTCTGTGATAATAGCACCACCATAGATGTTGAAGGGCAAAAGGAGGAGCTTGAAAGGGTAGGTGCATACGCTGGAATATTCATGACAGATTTTTCACTTTTAGATCCAGAAGACTACAGCATTCCCAGCATAGTTCTACCAACTGTTTCTGGGGCTTTGGTTAGAGAGTATGTGGCTAATGTGACTGCAGCAAAGGTGAAGAGCATGACATTTTTGTCCACTAATTTGGGTGTCAAACCAGCACCTCAAGTGGCTTATTTTTCTTCAAGAGGCCCAGATCCAATCACCCCGGGTGTCCTAAAACCAGATATTCTTGCTCCAGGAGTTGACGTGCTTGCAGCAATTGCACCAAACAAGCCTATTATGGAATTAGGGAAATATGATTTGACAACAGATTATGCTTTATACTCGGGCACATCAATGTCAGCACCACATGTTGCAGGAGTAGCAGCTTTACTAAAAAATATTCATCCTGAATGGAACCCTGCAGCCATCCGATCAGCTCTTATGACCACGGCATATACCAAGGACAACACTCGCACTACCATGAAAAACCAGCTGATAAGTCTTCCGGCTACACCTTTGGACTTCGGTGCTGGACATATCAATCCAAACAAAGCTATGGACCCTGGACTTATCTATGACATGAATGTGCAAGATTATGTCAACTTCTTATGTGGCCTTGGCTATACTGCAAAGCAGATGAGTGCTGTTCTCAGACGTACTCAATGGAGCTGCAGTCAAGAACCAACGGACCTAAATTATCCTTCCATTACAGCCATATTTACCAACAAAACCAGCTCTCCAGCTACAAAGACATTTAGCAGGTTTGTGACGAATGTGGGAGATGATGACAGTGTTTACCAAGCAACTATAGAAAGTCCTAACGAGATGAGAATCAAGGTAGAGCCAAGAACCCTGTCATTCACAAAGAAAAACCAAAGGCAAGGTTTTGTCATCAGTATCGACATTGATGAGGATGCTCCAACCGTGACGTATGGCTATCTCAAATGGATCGATCAACATAATCACACAGTATCCAGCCCAGTAGTGGCCATCAAATTCTAAGCTCTACCATTTCTCTATGCACATGAACCTCCAGGATAATAAAACTTGATTTATTCCTTCCAAAGAATAAATGACATATTACCCGAATCTTTTTTGCCTTCAGCTAGATTATATGTTTTCCAGTGGACCATTTCGTGCTAAATGTAAACTTGGCTCAGCAGATCAATCATCCACATAGATAATTTAGGCCTATCATAAGTGAAAGAAAATGGTGATACATTCGATTCATCATTTTTGTTGATATATCTTTACTCTAAAAAATCCTTTCAAACCCAACAATACAATCTATTCAAATCAATGCTCATTCAAAGATCAAACAAACGCAAATCTACCTCCACACAGGGGCAACCCAATTACCCCACACAAGTGTAGCGCAACCACCCAAAAACCCGTATTAAAAAAGTCGCACCACTTTTAAAAATTAACGTTTTCCATATCTATCCCAAATGAAAAAAATGTTCACAAGTGACCCAATTGAGTATGGTTCGAAGTCGTCAAAAGACAAACCAAAAGTGAAGGAAAACAGAGAGAAAACTGAAATCATCGTGTAAGACCCTATTGCTTTTGCTTGTATTGCTCCTGCTGCATGCTTCTCATGGATTATTGTTGAAAGGCTAAACTTTGAGAATATGACTTTTAAAGAAAAAATTATTTTCATTTTTCCAAGTATTAAATTAGAATTCTCTAAAGCACTACATATACTCCATTACTAACGGAAGAGGGTTTTTTTTAAAACCTTACAGCCCCCTCTTTTTCAGTAATTAATAAAAATTTAACTTTTATGATGACAATACTTATAATCCCTTCTTTATCATCAAACTTATGCACTATAAGTTGTTATTTCAAAGTTTTATTTTGAAAATATTCTTTCATCTAGTTTGTTTCTCTAAATATTCTTTCATCTAGTTTGTTTCTCTAAATATTCTTTCATCTAGTTTGTTTCTCTAAATATTCTTTCATCTAGTTTGTTTCTCTAAATATTCTTCCATCTAGTTTGTTTCTCTAAAAAGTTTACTGCCTCCTTAAATAGACACGAATTTTGCATAATAAAATCATAATTGTAAAACATCTAAAGGAAAAAACACATAAAATCTAAAATTAACACAAAAACCAAAAAAAAATTGAAATATGATAAAATTAACTAAAACAACATCTTCAAAGTCTAATTTGAGAGGCTTCTAGAGGAGCTAATGCAAGCATACCATCCCACTATAGAACTAGGCTTTTAAAATCACCTAAAAATAGTTGAAAATAATTCATCAAAATAGTTACGGTCTTTTCACACCAAGTTGCAAGTTGTTAGTTTGGCGTTAACAAAGCCTTTTTTGGACCTTTTATTGATACAACAATATATCTACTATATTATTGCATGATTTGTTAATCTTACGGTTAAGAACCTTTGATTTCTTCATCATCTGGATCATCTGGGATAAAACTTGTAGCCACTATAGGACTCCTGACAACATGTTTACCCCCAGCATCAGCCCAACTGAGATAACCAAAAGTGACTGCTTCGTCCAGAAGTGCTGGACCTACAATAGTCAGTTTGTAACTTAGCTTCTCATACTTGGTCTTGAACTCCAACTTGTCTGGCATGACATTGACTTTTAACCCACTCATGGGAGTCACACTTACTGTGTAAGTAGAAATTCCCTCTCCAACATTGGTCACGGTCCTATGAAATTCGCGCACACTTGTCAAATTTGATGGCGAAAATCTCTCGTTGAAGTAGGCGATAAAAGAAGGGTAGTTGAGGTCAGTGGATGGGTTGGAACAATCGGTAGAAGATGATCTTGTGATAACTTGGATTTGTTTTTCGGTGAAGTTTGTGGCACAAAGTAATCTCACATAATCAGTTGAATTAGCGTCATAAATGAGACCCGGGTCTAGAGCTTTGTTGGGATTAACTTGTCCAGCTCCCATGGCTAGAGGACTAGCTGGATTTATTCTATTACCTGAACCAATGTCCTTAATAGGTTCCATAGTGTTATCCGTTATATCAGCCGTGGTCATCATGGCTGATCGAATGGCAGCTGGGCTCCAATCAGGGTGTACCTCCCTCAAGAGTGCAGCCACTCCAGCTGCATGCGGACAAGCCATGGATGTCCCTGACAATATTTTGAAATTGCTGAAAATAGGCTGCGAATCGTTCAAATCCACTGAAACATTTTGAGGCCATGCTGCTAAGATTAGTGAACCAGGAGCCATAATGTCAGGCTTCAAGACCAATGGACAGCTCGAGGATGGTCCTCTAGAACTGTAACTAGCAACTCTTGGAGCTGATTTGATCCCCAGATTTGTTTTCCGAAATTCCGCGCTTGCTTGTGGACTGTTGCTGCTTTTGATGTAATCTATGATGGTTTTTCCATCCTTTAAATTCACAATCACAACTGGAAACCCATCACCGATGAATTCTTCAGTGTCTGTGAAATTTGTTATGAAGACACCTGCAGTAACACCTGCACTTCTCACATTTTCAACTTGATCACTTAAGTCGTTACTCTCATACGCACCTTGACAGACCACGATCTTCGGTCCAATTTTAATCAATTCGCTGTCACATCTATCCATGAAAACGAGTGGTACTTCGCTAAACGATGAACTCCCCAAATAGAAAGATGAGCCCGTGATTGAAATCCCATTGCCAAGTGCCAAAACTGCATCGAATTCACGGTCTAGAGTACCAGCAGCAACTGTTAACACCCAAGGTATACCATTATGTAGTGTCTCATAGAGAGGCCCATCGTTTCCGGCAGAAGTGGACACGAAGACATTCTTCTCTGTGGCTGCAAATGTTGCCAAGGCAAGAGGATCTTCATTCAAAGGTACTCCACCATAGCCTAATGACAAAGATAATACATCTACACCATCGCTAATTGCTTGATCAATTGCAGCAATTACATCAGTTGTATAGGCATGGTGATCCCACAGAGCCTTGTACACGGCTACATGTGCCCGTGGAGCCACTCCATTAGCAGTTCCTTTGGCATAGCCAAAGTATGATGCACCTTCCACGTAATTTCCAGCAGCCGTGCTAGATGTGTGTGTCCCATGGCCATCCGTGTCACGGGTCGAATTCAAAGATAT